TGATGAGCAGAAATGTCAGCAGCTCTGTGTAAATAGGACGTTTACACAGTGTAAGATACTCTGGTTGTTGAGGACAACGGGTAGAGTAGTGGGATTGTCTTTGTGAATGAACGGACAGCAGCTTTGCTGTTTGGCTTCAGCGTCTGTCTCCTGGTTTACAGACACAGCAGATCAACATGAACACGTCAGCTTGTGGCAGCAGGTGTAACGACAGCTTTCAGCATTCGTGTATGATAGAGAACAGCTCCAGAGGTACAGACCTGGGTGAACGCTGTGGGCGAGACGCAGCACGTGAGGGTGTGAGGAATCTAATCTTCATGCCCCACGTCTGCTCCAGGAAACCTCAGGTCAACATCTACTTGTTGCCATGTCCACCAGCTTTTCATTCAAATTCAAATCAGTTAAATTCAACACAAGTATGAATTGAAAATAAGAAGTTAAAGGTCAGCTGTCGAAACAAATATCGCTTCACACGTGAAACACAAACTGGGCCTTTAAATTATTACACTTAATATATTTGTACTTCATTTATTTCACATGATCTTTTGCCAGGTTTTAATCCATATCTGTTGTTAGTCCAATATACACCAGTACTGTTAGATTTATTTGTGAAACTTTCATCTGAAATTGTTCCTTTTTGTGGAATATTAAAGTGTTTATTTAACAGTGGCTGTGCGATCCTCGTGTTCATTAACAGACCGTGTTCTGTCTTTCTGTAGGATTAAAGTTATGAGGATTTTTCTAGATGATCCATCCTATTATGTTGATCAAATAGATTACGATGCGTCGCCCATCTGTCCTTTTTCTCTGTATATGTTCTGGAGTTGATCCTACTGATTTCACGTCTCGGTTTACGGGTGCTGTCAGCCCGGTTTATCTGTTGTACATGTCTGAGGTTTGGAGATCCGCCTCCTCTCTGAGGCGTTGTAGCAGAGGGTGACCCGGGGCTATGAGGACAGAGGACGTCCTCTGTTACACTGTAAATATTAATACAATTGACTGCACGATTCCCAGACTCAAAACAGGGTTATTGGCAGCACAGTGGGCTCAGAATGCAGAGTTAAAAACCCAGACGTGCAGCTCCTCCTCAGACACCGACAGAGAAACAGAGCCGAGTGGATTCCTCCTGTTTCTCTGTCGTCTGAGTGCAGACTCTGCTCGCTGTGCAGACTGTGAAGCCTTCGAAGGCAAAGCTGTAAAATGTGATTTTAGGCAATTTAAGGTGACGTGTTTCTGTGAAAACACAACACGCTCAGTAACCTGAAACTTTCAGGTTTTATCTGGAGCTTGAAAAAACAACAAGCTTCCCCTCAGAGAAACAGCCGAGGCCTTAGTACAAATCACCACATTCCCCTCTATACAGAGCCTTAAATTAATTGAATGCCTTCTGTAACCATTCAAATAAATCCCTTAAATTCATTCCTGTTCTTTCTGCAGCTCTGCTCGTCCATCTGCGCATCCTGAGGTTTCTCCTGTTTTTCCTGTTAAAGGGGATTTTTGTGGCGTTTTCCTCGTCTAAATCAAAGCTCCAAGGATGTCGTATGTTGTTCAGATTGTAAATCCGTCTGCGGGGCTCAACACGCATGACTCAAATTTCCTGTGACTCCCAGCAAAACGCACAACACACACAGTGCAGCTCAAAGTTTGTGGGTTTTTGTCTTCAAAATGAAGCAAGACTCTTCACACTCATGTGTCTGTAAAACCTTAAAAATCTGATCAATAACACCTCAGTCAAAGTGACTGCATCAGCCCGAGGACCATCAGGGTCAAAGTCCCAGCTCAACGGCGCACGTTTGACACTTTAATGTTTTAAGGTTAGTGAACGAGGGTTAAACGTCGGTGGACGTAAAGACGCTACGCTGACACAGCGACGCACTTGAATCAGAGCCGAGCACAAAAAGAGATTTTTTGGGGGGACATCTGTTTCAGCCTCCGTTTGCCTCCTGCAAACATGGTTCTTTCTAAGTGCTGCTCTAAACACGTGGCTCTTCTGGATGCTTTCTCTTGCTGCTGTCGGTACCTGGCTGGGAAATCTTCAGTTTGGACTTCAGCAGCTTTCTGAATTGATTCACGTCCTGGCAGCTTAACGTCTCCTCTGAGTTTTTCTGTGCTTTGAGCCGAGGGTCTGCGGAGAGGGGACACTGGAAAGAATGACCTCTGACCTGTCTCTGTCATTTTGCCCTCAAACATTACTTTCTGGAGTTTTTCCTTCAAGTCCAGGGTCTGAGGACACGTGTGTGATTTTTGGTTGCATAAACATTTTGTATCTGTGTAACATTCACATCATATATTAAAATGTAACACGCACATTATGAAAGTTACTTATATAAAAATATATACACTCACTGGCCACTTTATTAGGTACACCTGTATCGCTGTGTGCACTTCAGTGCAACACTTCTGCCTTAACATCTGTGTTTATGAAGCTCAACATGTTTCAGTTTCTGGTGAATTTGTCATAAATGTATAAATTCATTGCTATGTTTATTACAGGTGGTGTTGTACTGGAACACAGTATATTAAGAGATGTTCTTAATATTCTGACCCTCAGGGCAGAAATACAGAGACACCTCTGGATATGAAGTAGTCCAGTTTGTACCACCTTTAGCTGTGACCCCAGTAATAAACATAGCAATGAATTTATACATGTATGACAATTTCACCAGAGACTGAAACATTCTGAGCTTCATAAACACAGATGTTAAGGCGGAAGTGCACACAACGGTACAGGTGTACCTAATAAAGTGGCCAGTGAGTGAATATATGTGTCTGTCCATTTAAATTTAAATGTCTCATATAATGGCCTAAAGTACACAAACACACTGCTCAGCTGAAGTTATCACTAGTTTAGTCAGTCAGGCACTTTTGATAATCACTTGGTTGTTTAAGTCATTTTCAGCCAAACTGGAGAAGCTTCGTGCACGTGCCTTGATTTTCTCTCAATATAAACTGCACATATTTTAGACATTTCACTATGTCAGCATAAAAAATAAATAAATTCATTTGGAATTTCTGGGGGTTAATCGATATTCACAGGTGTGAAAACAACAACTAGATTCTGCTTTTTAAATATATAAATATAAGTGTCAGTCCCTGATGCTGATGCTGCTGTTGCTCGTCTCGTGTGTGAACACATTTGGACAATAAAGCTGCTTCCGGCTTTGTTTCAGATAAAACTGGGTGTTGGGTTTTAATGTCCTTACATGAACAATCACTTCCTCTGTGACACAGGTGTTTCCTTTTTTGTGCATTCACCTGTAGGATGCAACGACATAATCAAATTTACCCGAAATGTTTGTTTTGTGAAAAAAACGAAAAGTTCGTCATTTTAATTCCTGAATCTTGTTGCACATTTTGGAGCTGAAAGAATTTAATTCCGCAAAATTCCCTTCATGGGAAGAAAGGGAAAAGCAGTTGGAAAGCAGAGGAAGTGAGTGAAAGTTGGCAGAGCCGAGGACGCGGCTGGACGTGTTCGCGGCTGGTGGACGTGCTGTCGGTCGCTTCCTCTCGCTGCTGATGCTCAGGTGATTTAAAGCCGCACTGATTTATGTGCGTAAAGCGGTCAGATCCCAGCTCACCTGGCACATTTAGCGACCTACCCCCGCTGCTTGGCGCCGTCACTGAAGCCCCGATTTACCAGAAAATCACGTTGGAGTTTAGAGACAAAGGAGAATTGTTTGACCTTTAAAACTCTGAAATTATATTTTTAATATAGGCTGCTGGTTCTGGAGTTTTTCACCAATAAGATTTCCGCCAGCTTTGAAATTAATATTTCCCAATTTTAGTGACACTAAATATATATAAATATATAAAAAGTGAAATGGATGAATGTCGAAGCGAGGCTCGGGGCTGCCGGCTCTTGGCATCGCCAACTTATTTTATTCTGCCTGTGAAAAGCTGCACAACGTTTTAATTTAATCTGTGACTCCGTTAAATTTTGCTTTATTTCTTCTCTGACTTGGTTCATTAATAAAATATCGCTTCAGTTTTCTTTTACTGAAATAGATCCGCCGCTTAGGGTTTTGTCCTCTACGCCGTTTGGGTTTAACGGGAAATCGTTGTGTTGATTAATTAAACAGTCATGTACTAATTGTTTCAATTATCTCCTAAAAAGATGTAAACACCCCGGATTAGAGACGCGGGAAGCGGCTGCAGCTCTGCGCTCCTCCCGCCGCCTCTTTGCGCTCGGCGTGTTCGTGCAACACCAAACCGCACGTCAGATTTGTTTAAAAGATTGATCAGAGCTGCGGCGTGCGAGAACACAACATTAGTCCAAGTTCAGTTTTGGTTTTAAAAGACGCGTGCGAGTGGGAAAACACTTCGGTGTCTGTCTCCGCTCGCACCGGGCAGCTGAAGAACCCGAGTCCGGCGGAGAGACGGAGGGAGTCGCCGTGATGGGGCCACGGCTCAGCGCTGAAACCATCCACCCTGGTGGTTGGAGCAATGCTGCTTATGCCTCGCGTAATTTCATGCCTTGATCCTTTTTGCTTTAGTTTAGTTTAGTTTTTTGTTTTAATTCCAAACAAATCCACGCTTTATATTTCCAGGGGAGCCGCGGAACCAAGCCGGTTCCTACTGAAGCACCTCGACTGTAAACCTAGAGATTCTCACACCGAACAGCTGATGGCTCTGACAGGTCACACTAAAAGTTTGCTGTCAGAGGTTTTCAGCTTTTTCTGCATGTTTTAGTTATTTGATCTTTTTCCGGATGTAAAATGGGAGATGTTTCGCGTGCACAGTTCATTTTCTGTGTAGTTTGACATTTTTCGTATTTTATTCCCAGTAACAAACTAATACTGCTCCTGTAGCTACGTGAACTCTGCAGGAGCACGAACTGCTTTTCAACCCACTATTCCGCATCATTCGCCCTGCAGGCTGAATGGAACTTTGGGCGCGTGTCACTGTCGTGGACGTCGCACACATGACTTTCACCTTCACGTTTTCTAGCTGTGGCGTTAATCGACCGATTGGCACTGGAAGCACAGAGATGATATTTTTACCTCTGGGCCGCTGTGTTGGCGTCCAAAATCCCTGCGCCCTGCATCCAGGAGCGGACCGGGGTCATGCCGGTGGGGAGCGGCTCCTCCTTCATGGTCAGTGCCCCCCGGGGGAGGCTGTCCTGGATTGAGAACATCAAAGTGTCCTTCTGGGAGCTTTGTCTTCACCAGAAACAAGAAGAAAGAAGAAGAATAATCCTCCCTGTACCAGCCACTCAAAAAGCCAGAGGACCACCTGGATTAAGATGCAGAAAAGAGAAGGAGAGGGGAGGAAGGGGATGAGGGGCACACTAGCGCGCTTCCCCAAAGTAAAGGGTCCTGATCCAGAGAAGAGTCCCGGATCCCTCTGGGTTTCTCCGGGCTCGTTTTAGATCCCAGCCCCTGCTCGCAGCAGCCCTGACTTTAAACCGGCGTCTCAGTGAAGTTAAAAGAGGGCGGAGAGAGGAGCAGAGAGCGGGGAGAGCATCTCAGAGGAGCCGGAGAGAGACGCACACACGCAGGAGAATCAGCCAGTACGGAGAGCCTGACACTGGGAGAACGGAGCGGGGAGAGCCGGGGATCAGAGGGAGGCGAGCAGCCGCGGATTGTGGAAAAATGAAAAGTGGGATAAAAAACAAGCCTCCGCTTCAAAAAGGAGTAAAATGAAATGATTAGCAAACAAGAGGGAGGGACGGACCGTGGAAGGCTGCTGCTCCCGGGGGAAAAGGGGGATTGGGCAGCGAGAAATCTCATCCCCTCCCTCCCCGGCTCTTTATGGCTCCTCTGTCCCAGTGGAGAGCTCCTTCTCCCGGGTCCAGGGCTCGGCAGCTCCCGGGGGACCGGCGTGGACCAGGAGGGGGCGTGGCACGTCCAAATAAGGACCTCTAATTTGAATATCGGTCGCACCTCTGGCGCCTCATTGGACGATGTCGCGCGTCGCGTCATTGTTTTTTAAAGCGCACGCCAAATATGGGTTTCCGCGTGTTCGACCGTGCGCACTGTAAAAAATGACGTTCACATGTGAATTTTTAAAGTGGATCCAAACAACAGGGAGAGATTAGAGTTAATGAGAGAAAACGATCCGACTGCTGAATGTGCAAAGTGACTTCAAGATGGAAACGTTTAGACATTTTAAACACTGGAATAAACAAAGTGACATGTGAAACTGAACCGGATGGAGGTGATTCCAACATTCAGCCACAGTTTCAAACCACACTGTGTAAGGGAATCTGTTGATGCGATGAGTTACAAACCACCTCTTCCAGCGCAGGAGGCATTTTTTACCGGGTTACGCATCATTTCTGCCAGATTTCAACACTGACTCTTGTTTCTGCAAACATCCGTCAAACAAGTGGCGGATTCGGTCACTTCTGTTTAGGACATCTGAGAGTCTTCTGCCTGATTGTGTGATTCACTAAGCTGCTGAGTTTAACAGGCCACAGTAGGTTCAACCTCAACCTTCCGTGCGTGTCTCCGCACAGGTCCGCTCACCATTTATAGTGGTGGATACGAGACTGTAATACAGAACCTCATCAGTAACAGAAATCTGTATTCACTTCCCCAAACCTCACAGATTTCCTCAGATTCCGGGGGATTAACTGGTTTCATGTGGAATAATCTCCTCTGTCATCCCGCGTTCAGGCTGACTGACACGGGCAGCGCGCAAACTTG